CACGGGTGCTTAATGATCGTGACCAGCTGCGTCTAGCTAGAATTGTCCGTGGTAACAGCCAAGCGACACTGGCTGAAATCACATCCACATTCAATGCAGGAGGTACCAGACGCATATCCAGCAGGTCAGTGCAGCATTCTTTAGCTTCCATGGGATATGGGAGCAGAAGACCGACCAGAGTGCCTCTGTTAACACCACGACACCAGACACAGCGCCTCACCTGGGCATGTGACATCACTAATTGGACCCTGGAGGATTGGCAACATGTGGCGTGGTCCGATGAGTCATGGTACCAGTTGTTTCGGGCGGATGGTATGGTTCAGGTGTGGCACAGACCCCATGAAGCCATGGACCCCAGTTGTCAACAAGGCACCGTTCAAGCTGGTGGTGGTTCCATATTGGTGTGGAGTGTGTTCACGTGGCATGAGTTGGGTCCACTCGTCCATCTAAACACGTCACTGACTGGTGACCACTACCTTACACTGCTTGGTGACCATTTGCAGCCCTTCATGGACTTCATGTACCCCTACAATGATGGGATATTCCAGCAGGACAATGCACCATGTCATTGGGCCGGAGTTGTCCAGAATTGGTTCGAGGAGCATTCTGGAGAGTTCCAACGAATGGTGTGGTCACCACGTTCGCCCGACATGAACCCAATCGATCATTTATGGGACGGGGTGGAGAGGTCTATTTGCACCCAAGATCCTGCACCTACAAGGAAGCTGTGGGCGGCTATCCAGACGGCATGGCTCAACATCTCTCCAGAGGTCTTCCATCCATTTGTGGAATCGATGCCACGTCAAGCCCACTTCGCCGGGCTAGAGGGGGTCCTACAGGGTACTAGGTACCTATCCCATGACTTCTGGCATGTGTATAACTACTTCACAACTCCATGAATAGCTTTAGACATGTTTGAATAAACTCTATCTGTATATACCATTTGTTAATTCCAAACATATTCAGCAACATAACAATAAGATTGTTTGTGGTGTGTATGCATGCCTTGAAACTCTGTTGTAAAATGTATCTTCACAGAGGGTCTATAGAATTGCATATACACTTATTTTAATTTATCCATCAAACCTTAAGACCTTCACTGATACTGTTGGCATCTTTACTTCCTGAGCACAAAATTGCTTTATCAATGCATTTTGTAGAATAAATTACAGATATACTCTTCTTCTGACCATTTCCATAATTAGTGATGCAGTGCCTACAAGTTGATTTGGAATTTATGTTGATTTTGACAGGCCATTCTCTAGTTTCTTTGTCAAATAATAACTTAATTTCTTAAAAAGAAAATTGTGCAGTTCTTTCTAGCAAATACTTTTCCACCTTCATTTAGATGTTAACCATGAATGATAGAAATTGTCTTCATAGATGTACTGTGTCAGTTATTATGATCATGTATACAAAGTTTGGCAGTTTTTAGGCTTATCTCCTGAACTAACCAAATGGAACAAAATCATACTTGAAAAGTGTATAGTTCAAAGCATTCAAGATATTTCCAGCATTCTGTGAAGTCCAAAGATTCATTGCTGTGTTCACAAGAATCTGCCACCAGTCTCTGTCATGAACCACATGAATCCAGTCCTCACCCTCTTATGGTATTTCTTAAAATTCCATCTTAATAATATCCTTTCTATGTCTAGGTCTTCCAAGAGGTCTCTTCTTTCCTTAGTTTTTCCTATTAGAGCTTTGTATGCATTTCTCCTCTCTCTCATGTGTTACATGCTTCAACCGTTTCATTCTCCTTCACTTGATCATTCTACAAATATCTCATGAGGTGTACAAATTTTTAAGTTCCTCAGTATGCATTTTTCTCAGGCTTTCTAATGCTGCCCCCTCTTAGGTCCAGATTTTCTCCTCAGCACTCTGTTCCTAAATATCCTCAGTCTGTATCCTTCTCTCCACGTGAGAGATGACATTTCACACCCACACAAACAACAGGTTGGATTATACTCTAGTTTTGTATATATTAGTATTTACATTATTAGCAGATGGGAACACAAAAAATCTGAAATGAATGACAATAAACATCCCTTGAATTTAATCAGCTCATAATTTCTTCATTGATTCAATTTGTATTTGTTGTTATCTCTTCCAAATTTTGAACTGTGCCACATTTTCAAAGAATATATTAATTGTCTCTGTGCTGTGGTTTTGTTCTGCATTATGGCAATAAGACATCTTCAGACAGTCTTCTCTTCATTTGCTTGTAAACCATCCTCCTTTCTGGCATTTAATAGAGCTTCATTGTTTTTCTTTGTAGTATTTATGTTTGTATCCATGTATGTATGTCAGTAGCATAGGCCAGAAGCTGATGTGTCCCATTCAATTTCAGTATTTCCTGATTTTTGTGGGCTTTCATAGTGGTGTGTGCAGGAGCAAAGTTGAAAAGTAATGGCAATAAAGCATCTCCTTGCTTCAGATCATTCTGAATGGGAAACGTATCAAATCTTGTGGACTCATGCAAGTAAATATTTTTCAGGAATATCCTAATGGTTCTGTACATTAACCCCTGTACACTTCTTTAAGTGTCCCAATGTATGGTGTTTGAGTCCTATTTCAGTGGGCAAAAAGGTAAAACTACGAGTCAGACTTTAGTAAATTTTTGTACTCTCATTGTGCCTGTAACCAATTCTTGTTAGTATACAAAGGGAAATCTCTCTTAGTTTACCAATGTATCATTTAAGGTTTTCGCCACGATCAGCTGTACTGTTTCTAAGTACATCACAACTATGGTTCTTTAACTCATTTGTGTCCATAATGCAACCATTTGTTTTGGGCTTAATGCTTCTTCTGAGAACATGCAAAACATGTGGTCATAGTTAAAAATTTGCTTTCTCCTATGTAATAGACAAGCTCCAACACAGTCATCACATTTCCTTTTGGCCGGCCCATTGCATCTCAGACCCGTGTTTCAGGGTGGACTGTTGTCCTTCTTACCTGCTGTCTGACCAGTCTCCCCCTCCTCCCCACAAAATCCATCCTCCTTTGGTTGGGAATGAAGCTGGGACCATTGACCACGTTTCTTATTCATCTCAGTGGCAGAGTGAACAACCTGTGTGTCTGTAGTTTTTGTGCAGTGAATTTTTATAATATTATAGGAGTGTGTTTTTCTCGATTTAATATTCAGTTTTTCTGCTCTTGTTCAAATAAGTGAGTTCACAACGAAACTTCTGGTTTTCAGTTTGTTCACGATCTTATTTAGATATGGATCGGTGGTTAAAGTGTGGATCGTTGATTAGGTAAGTGTTAAATTCATAATATTAGGCCTAATTGATATGTTCGTGATCTTCCGAATAAGCTCCATTTATAACAGTATTTTATTGTCATAAATGACACATTTAGTGTTCTAAAATTGTAAGTTACTTACTGCTTCACTTTCATGATATGTAAAATATAAAAAAAAAATCCATTTGGGGTTTTATGGGGGCCGTGGTCAATTAACATTCGCTCCAGGGGGTCCGCGGCATCAAAAAGGTTGGGAAACACTGCTGTACGCTATACATTGTACTATGCAATTTTTAATTCTTTTTAAAGGTATGCCAAAATTCATGCAATGTGTAACTGATGTTGACTTCGTCACATGGGTTGTAGGTTCTGCATTATGTACAGTTATGTGATTCAAGAACTAAATAAATATTGTGCATAAGATAATTTTGTTTGATTCTTTATGAATTATTATTACGACTTTATATCAATCATATTGATTCCATTTTACATTTTTTAAGATGCTTCAGAAATCCAGCTGTATTTATTTTTTTCGCAGTTTTTTGCAGCGAACAGCCTGGCTATCAGATATTAAGAGGGACACTTGCCACAGTGACTGTGAATATGCCGAATAAGCAATCCTGGACAGCCAAATGCGGCCTATCAATTTTCTTGTCTTAAAAAAATAATACATTGTGAAATATTAGACAAAGCCACAGACTCTATGGCATGATCTAAGCAAATTAAAGTGACATTCACGAAAGAGTTAAAAGCAGAATAATTCTTAGTTCAGCTGTTATCTTCTAAGGTGAAAATCTTTGATTTTAGATGTTTGAGAACAAATTCTGAACCTAAAACAGAACAAGTTAACAGAAGACTGGAGAAATTATATAATGAGGAACTTAATAATTTCTGCTCTAAACTGGTTATTATTTCTGTCATTAAAGGAAGGACAGTCGGATGGCTGGACCGTGTGGCATGCATGGTAAGGTAAAAGTAAAGAGGTAAAATGTTTAATTAATTAAGCACCACGCTATGAAAGCGTATGTGGAAGTAGCTCTGCCATTCTTGACCTTGGCACTAGATGGCGGCCAGTGGTCACCTTCACGCTACGGCCGCTTTACTCCCATGGAACGAGGTCCTGGTACCTATTGGATGGGAGGCTGGGTGGGCCCCAGAGCCGGTCTGGACACCGTGGAGGAGAAAAATCTCGTGCCCCTGTCGGGAATCGAACCTCAGCCATGAACCCATAGCCCGTCGCATTACCAAATGAGCTGGAACTTCATAATTTGTAATCTCCACCGTATATTATTTTAGTCATTAAATGAAGGAGAATCAGATGGTTGATACACGTAGCATGCATGGGCGCATGAAAAATGCATACTCAGTTGTCCGAAAATGCCGAGGGAAGAGCACTTTGGAGACCTAGGCATATATGGAAATTCAATGGTATTTATTTTATTTTTCTTTCATTTAACGACGCTATCAGTAACTCAGGCCATGCAATTTCGAATGATCCTATAATAATGAATAATGAACTGGAATTAAAAATTAAGTGTCCCTAACAATTGTTACTGATTACCTTCATATAAAACTTTTTTTTTCCTTGAAGTAGATTTTGATGATAAAAGCAGGCTTACATCATTTTTTGCGTTCATTTTATGCATTTCGTTCCAAGAACTCACGTGAAAGGTTGCTTACCTCACTTAGAACGTCATTCATCGTCTCAGAAATTAGAGTCGGAACAGGCCGACGAGGTAATTCTTGGACGTTCCGTCACAAACCGCGCATGCGCGAAAGTGTGTCAATTCCGACCATTCGGAGAGCATATCACACTTGCCTGTTACTCTCAGTTGAGGAGTTAAAATCAGCGCTAGTGTTGGGTGAGCAGCGATATACAGAGATCCTGAACGCACGTGCGACGGAAATCGTGAGTACTGACCTGCCTGTACCTCATTTACTTAGTTCACGCAACCATTAACTCGAGATCGGTATGAAACTGGTTCGTAATCCACTTGTTACAAGGCCTACCACATGGATTATATGCATATATATTTCCATTTCATTCATTGGTGAAATGGTTCAACAGCCATTTGTTGGGCCCTGACCTCTTCTTCAGTTTCGTAATCTTTTTTTTACACAGACGGTAGGACTGCTTGGACGGGAGATCAGCCCATCGCAAGGCCGCTACCTACACACAGGACAACACAAACAGAATAAACACACAGACGTCCATGCCTTGAGTGGGATTCAAACCCACGATCCCAGCGTTCGAGCGAGCGAAGACAGTTCATTCCTCTGACCGCGCGACCACTGTGATCGGCTCTATATAATTCCACCCTGAGTACGAGTATATGCCTATCTATGTAAATTAACGAGGAATAGGTGGATGGAACATACAGTAAGCAAGGATAATATGACAAATATATATAAAACGTAATCGGGAAGTCTCCCAAGAAGGAACCACCTGAAAGACCTGGATGTAAATGAATACATTGCAGGATAATATGAGGTCTTGATTCGGTTGGCTGAGAGATCAGGTTCAAAGGCGTGCTTTTGTGACAACAGTAACAAACCTTTACGTTCCTTAAAAATGGTTATTTCTTATCATGCTGAATTATTCCTATAACATGAAGTCAGTTGGATATGCGCTTATATTCACTGATTATTCGGCTATTTATACTGTTCGGGTTAAGTAGCATCGAATGGGATGGTCACGAATGGCGAGTAGGTAAGGTCTTAGAAGGAAACGGTGTGTCCAGCTGTTTGTCATACAGCCACACATGAGATCGATGGTAACGTGTGACCTCAGTTGTGTTTTGAAACTAATTATCAATTGCTGTTACGAACTTTTCCCATATAAGGTGCCAGCACAACGAGGATGACACAGCAAACATCACATTCCTGACCATACATAAACACAGTCTTCACCAAGCTGTGCCGTGGAAGAAGAGGAGGCTTGAGTACCCACTCGTGCCCCTTCTAATGCCATGTTTACTCCTGCAAATGATGATAAGTGGTTAGCCCGTCAATATATCCCCTACTTATATAGAAAATGATGGTTCAACAACACGCTCACGAAATTCCATTACTGGACTATAACCTATGCCAGTTCCATCAAGTCCACATCCTCAGGACCTATGCTTTTTAGATCCATTTTCCAAGCATCCTCCCACCAAAGCCCAGATCTCGAAATCGGTCTCTTCTCCACAGATTTTCTTATTAAAATGTTATTTCTTATTTGTACCACATGTACTGCAGGCCCCACCCATTTCGTCCTCCTTGATTTCATTACCACACTATGTAGTGACCAATAAAATTATTAGGCATTTGTTTAAACACTTTTCTCCATCCTTCCGTTACAAATAGAATCACAGAATGGGAATAACCGCTACCTAATAACAAGAAAACGTGGCACCCCTGTACACGTAGGACACTATACACCATAAAAATCACTTTACCACCGTCCCTAAAATGAAGAAGAAAAAAAGACATAACTTCACAAACATGCGCAAACCCGCCATGTAATATACTCGTATGTATAAAGAATTGAAAAATAACGCAGATTCCCAGAAAGCCCACCTACTCTACGACACACCATAGACTTGTACTCCACGCTAAATAATAAAAGGAAAACATAATTTTAACATTCAACCGGGTTATAACGTTTTACATTTTAAGAGTAATAACAAAATATAAAGAAGTAGGTATTGTAATGAAATTCATATTAATGATTACTGTTGTGGATCCATATTAGAAATACACAGAAATACAACTGAATAATGAATAGTACATTTCATGAAAAATTGCCTGATGATGATTCAGCTGCATCGAAATATTCGTATGTAGCAAATGTACATAATATAACGAATGATAATACAATAACATTGATTATTTCTTACGATTGTGTCGTGCTGACGGATGTATAACAATACTATATGGACCCTGTAAGGAACTTTCGCTACTTAAATGGTATCTTTACAGGCGATATGCATGCTATAAGCAGTAGTAAAAACATCAACATTAATACGTATGTTCGGCTTTATCGATTACCGCATTCGACAAGTAAATGTTTTTGAAGAGGATACATCATCATGAAGAAAGCAATCTTTTGGAATGTGGCGCAGTGTAGAGATTGTGTTAACCGACGTTTCGGAGGAACTTATCGCCTCCATCTTCAGGGTAGAAGAAAAAAGAAGAAAATCAGCAAGCGAGAAACCAGCGTGAGCAGATGCTAATAGACTAGAAGAAGAAAAAAGAGGAAAATCTATTAGCATCTGCTCACGCTCTTTTTTTCGCTTGCGGACTTTATTTTTTCTTCTACCCTGAAGATGGAGGCTATACGTTCCTCCGAAACGTCGGTTAACACAATATCTACACGGTGCCACATCCCAGAAGACTGCTTTCTTCATAGTCACCGCCGTAAAAACCTAAAATCTTAGATACATTATCATGTCTACTGGCGTGTGAAATTCTTGCACATTCTTCCCGACAACAGGTGAAATTCTGCCTTTTCTTTCCTTACATTACCCTAGCTCAGAGGTCTACAATGTTGAGTCTCGGAAGGTACGTTCCCACGAGACTAACGACGCCCACAGACAGACAAGGACATTTTCGAGGTCAGCTATACCCAAGATATTCCATGAATGGCAATCTGGACGCGAGCGTGCTTGTTTCGCGCGTGTCATTTCCTTTTGTTTACGCTGCTTTCCGCGTATCAGCGAGTACAGTCAGGTTGCATGTAAATATGGTGTTCGCGCCAGTTGCTTTTACAGCACAGGCCATTCCCGTCTTATGACTCAAATATGTTTTTAAAAATCTCGTTGAAAACCAAATGTTAGTTTCCCATAAATTTACATGTTGTAAATACACATACTCTCCAGGACCTTGTGAAATATGTACGAAGCCTTATTTAGGTTCTCAGTCAACAGTTTAAGAATAAGTGAAATAAATTATATAATAAATATTTCAAGATTAAAACAATCAACAAATCAATATTTAAAAAGCTAACTCTAAAGATTACTTACCTTAAATCTTCCTTCTGACATCTCGCGTGTCCTTATTAACTTTGGAATGATGAGCACACAGATTTCAAGAACTCAAGATCGCGACTGAGGCATGACTGAGCGTGGACGAGTCATATCGTACAACTCGGTACAACTGAATATCGGCCGAAATATGCATAAAAAAAGTCCACTTGGAATGCTGAAAAACTCGAATATCGAACGTCGAATATCGTAGTGTATGGTACGATATTTGATGTCGATTTCGATGTATCAGTGTTTAACTCCATGTTTGTCGTAAATCGATACATCGTAAGTCGGGAACGTTCTGTGTACAGCAGTCAACATTACAACTCAATCAGCTGTTCATTATCACGTCCGAAAGAGCCCGCCACTGGGCCCTACCCTGAAGCAGTTGCATCCATCCCCTATCATTACACAATATTTTTAAGTATTAACTTCCTATCTATCCCTATGTCTCCCAGCAAGTCTCTTCCCTTCACATCTTCCAATTAAAATGTTATATGAATTTCTCATCTCCATCCGAGTTATATGCTTAGCCCATATCACCTTCTTTGATTTGGTCACCATAATACGTGTATTTGGCGAAGAATTAAAATTATGAAGCTCCTGACCGTGTAATTTTCTCTGCGTCCTGTTATTTCCTGTCTCAGATGTCAAGCTATTTTCCTCAACCTTTGCCTCTTGAGACACTCTCAATCTGTGAAGTTTTCTGTCTTCTGGAGCATAACGTCATGAGGTCTGGTGTACGTCAATCGACGCTTCTGCTCATATTGCTGCCTGCTTCATGCTGGTTTCTTGCTTGGTGTACCCTTCGACCCTGAAGACGGAAGCAATAAGTTCCTCCGAAAGTCGGTTACTTCCACCGGACTATATGGCGTTATAAGCCAGAAGTAAAAACTCTCCATGGTCACTACTGTGAGAATTTCAAATACAAATCCCAAATTATATTCCTCCCTCTTAGGGCGATACACAAAGTTTTACACCCATACGGTATATAGCAGCAAGTAAAATTAATTTTCATATTTTAATCTTTGCCGATCACAGTGGCCGCACGGTCTAAGGCATGAAATGTCTTCGCCCGCTCGAACACTGGTATCGTGGGTTCGAATCCTATTCGAGGCATGGATACCTGTGTGCGTTTATTCTGTTTGTGTTGCTCTATGTGTAGGTAGAGGCCTTGTGACGGGCTGATCCCCCGTCCAAGGAGTCCTGCCGACTGTGTATAGGATCAAGAAACTGAAAAAGCAGTCAAGGCCCAACAAAGGGCTGTAGAGCCCTAATAATAGTTCATCAAGAAAATTACACGACGTCATATCGAAGAAGAATGTTATTTGGAGTTTTCGTATATTTCAACAAATGAACCCAACGAACTCGAAATTATTTTGCTTGAATTTCCAATTTCTCAGTCCGATTGCAATAGAATGCGACTTTCCTACGGAGATTCTCTTTTGGCGTTCATTTGTTTCAACAAATTAGAAATAACAAGACCAGATTAAATCTGTTTTTTTTACTTACTTACGTATATATTCTAATTGTAGGATTAGTGTGACTATGAATTCTACTGCATATTGAACAAGAACGAGATTTTCCAAATGGGACAGAGAACCTCACTCGAGGCTTGTTTATTTAAAAACATAAGAAACCACCAGAACCAACTTCAGTTTTTTTTTTGTTTCTTTTCCCTTGGCACTAGAGCCCCAGTGGGTTTAGGCCTACCTCCATGAACTTCACCGTTCACTTCGGTTTTTCTTGATTTTACACATTCGGTAGGACTCCTAGGGCGGGTGATCAGCTCGTCGCAAGGCCTCTACCTGTAGACAAACACAGAAAAAAGCATACACACACACAAACGAAACATCCATGCCCTGAGTGGGATTCGAACCCACGATCGCGGTTTCCAAGC